CCATCTTGTATCTATGTGCCTACAGTAAATGTTCACTTGTTCGAAGGTATAAACGCTGCGCCTTTGGGGTCATTACCTACTTCCCGCCAGAGATGATCATCGTGAAATCCTGCAGGAATGTTCTCTCCGTGAAATGTAAAGAGACATTTACAAGGTGATTAGTAGGCGATATAGAGTAGGAGAAACATTAAGCTTGGCTACATTTCGTGGTTTATTTGACTTTTTTTTTTATTGAGACGTTCAGCTGCCTGTGCTGCAGCGGCGCACCCGGTGCTGTCGAATTTCCAGTAATTGCGGCAGGTTGCCTTAACCTAACCCTAAGCCTTGTTACTTTGAGATAACGATGAAAATTAAAAACTGTCGGGCATTTAGTGGAAGAAATCGAAGACCGCGGCCGCGGCAGCCGTCACTCACGCCGTCGAGATTTAGGAAATACAGCCCCCGAGGAATAACTCTGTGTGCTAGGTCGGCGCGGATATGTATTCTCCTAGTAACGACCGGCACCCTGTTTCCCCCGATGGCCTGGAAGAACTAAACAACCGGCTCTCGTTCTCTGACTTGCGTCAGTTTACCGAACAAACCGGACGAGATTATAAGTAGGAGCAATTTTTAATTGCAACAACCAAAGAATATTATTTAATTCGACCCACAGTAAACAAAGTTACGAACAAATAAAGATGAATACAGAACAGAGATAAATGCAGAAACAAAGTAAACGATAGCAAAGAAAATATATAAAGGCAGAGGAAAATAAAAACATTTTATGGGCGTTCGACACGGCGCGCGGCGCCCAACGAGCGGCCCGGCGGCGGAGCGGGGCGCCCGCGGGCCCGCCCGGGGCGCGCCGGGGGCGCGGGGCGCGCCGCGGCCGGGCGGGCGGGGCGGCCGCGGGGGGGGCGCGCGGGCCGGGGGGCGCGGCCGGCGCGCGCCGGCGGGGCGGGGCGCGGCCGGGGCGGCGCCCCCCGCCGCCCCGGCTACCTACTCTCACGAAGTGAAAGCTCTGACGTTGAGCCGCAGCTTGAAACAACATTGAAGCGGATATAGCACGCCTAACCCTGACCAAGCCCGTAACCGTAACCATAATGGCCTAACCATATCTCTAATTCTAAAATAAAATAAAATTAGCCAAAATGAATACGAAAAAAAATAGTGTCCAAAAAAAAAAAAAATTCTCCGCGCCCAACGCTCCGCCGCTGCATGCGCTTCCTAGCCCTCACCTCGCTTCACTCAATCCTTCGGGAGTCTCCCCTCCACGCCCCCGGACTTACTTGTCTCCCTCCTCTCTCCTGTCCGACGGCCGTTCCTCCTGTTCTTCGCGTTCGGCTTTTCCCTGTTAAACCCGCCCCGATGCTGGCTTCACATCTAAAACTCCCTGGTTTTAGCACACCCTCCCCCTCCTCTATCCCTTTTCAGCCAATCAGACGAAGAGTCAGTGCAGCTTGTAGAATCGCATGATTTCGTCCGTCAGCCGTCCGCATCCATCCGTTTCGTCGTCGGCTCAACAGTGGCACAAATCTTTAACCGCTGACGTACGGGTCACGATATTCGGCACAGTGGGGGGCGCGGGTTAATCCGAAAACGAGTTGAGGTGGTTCAAAGCTGTTTTAGCAGTCTGACAAATATAGGCGTAAACGTACCGTTTTTGCACGAGGAATCAAGAAAACGATCACAAATTTTACACAAAGTTTCACGCAAAGTTTTTTCCCACCAAAGCACAAAGGTCACAAGCCAATCTACATGAAAAAAAAGTACCGCGTACATAAACACACGAAAAACAGATAAAATACACTTCCTTTGATGCACCCTTCACGTCCAGTTTCGACGGCATCAAGATAAAGCTTTCACCAATTAAATTCTTAGAATTCCCTGTATTTTTTTTACCATTATCCCAGTTCGCAATTATCTTTCACGTATATATAGTAATATAGAATATAATAATCAGGCTTCAGCCCCTTCTCGTGTTTGCTATCTTCTTCTCTCTCACACACAGCGTAAGCTGGGACTTGCCTCGCAGTATCACGGAATGCAAACACCGGCGCCTCTTTTCCCCCTCATTCCTTCACGCGCTGACTTACTCGCATAGTTCTTTAACTCCGTGTGTATCACCGTTTCTCACTTCCCGCGTCTCGCCTCTTTCCGTGCCCTCTCTCTCTCTCGCCAATTCTTACTGTCCTCTCTCGATCGCCTCTCCGTCGTTCTTCGTTTCTCCTACTCTTGCTCTTGTTCTCGTCTCTCTCTTTCTCGCTCTCTCGCCGTCATTCTTTGTTTCTCTCGATCGCTCTCCGTCATTCTTCTTCTCTATCGATCGCTCTCGTCATTCTTCTTCTCTATCCGATCACTCTCGTCATTTTCTTCTCTAATCGATCGCTCTCCGTCATTCTTGTTCTCTATCGATCGCTCTTCGTCTTTTCTTCTCTATCGATCGCCCTCTCGTATTCTTCTTCTCATCGATCGCTCTCCGCTCATTCTTTTTCTCTCATCGATCGCTTCTGTTTGGCGGGAGTAGGTAAGAACAAAGGCCAGCGTTATAATTCGAACAAGTGAACATTTATGTACACATAGATACCAAGATGGAAGCTGTAGGATGTGTATTCGAGCTGTGATGGTGTGAAATGAAGCGAGCGTCGAACGAATTTTTCAATCCCGCTTTCCTACCTGTTCTCTTATTCATGTTGTTTGTGCACGCAGCACAGGGCGGGCGGGGGTCCGGTGTACTTGTGTGTTGCAGATGAGCATTTGACCGGCATTTACAGGTGATTATAGGCGAAATAGAGTAGAGAAACATTAAGACTTTGGTACATTTCGTGTTTATTTACCATTATTTTTTTTATTGAGACGTTCCAAGTGCCTGTGCCAGTGGGCTGCAGCCGCAGGGCATATACGCCACAGCGAACAATGAAATGATGAGGAAAATGCCAATGGTACGACTGACAGTGTGGTGGAGTGTCGACATAGAGAACATCTTATGATCACGATATCTTTAGAGTTACATGGCTTACAGTTAAACACAATATTTATTACCTGCGAACCGACATAGTACCACTCGCCATCCTTTTCTAACTGAAAAGGTTTCGGCTTTTCCCCGTAAGTCTTCAACTCGCCTGACATGTTTGATTAGCGAAGTGTACTGTGCTGCCACGCTGAAATCAGCGGCGGCTATCGCTCATTTCCTGGCGTCCCTTCCGCCCTCATACAATCGTCGGGAATAAAATAAATGTAAAGATAAAAATGTATTTCAAAGCTAGCATTTGCTTCAGAAATCCCTAATCTATTGTGTAACTCAAACAAATTAATACACAGTGATAGATCTATGAAACTAGTGTCAGGTGGTGCTGCCCTCTGTCCGTGACGTCATCACCGGTTTCGCTCAGCCATTTTTGCTGGCCTGTTTTGGCAAATATCTGTGTTGTTTTGTTTATATCCGCGTTCATCCTTGTGTCATTGATAGATTTGTCTTCCGGCTTTTTCTAATCACATTAGCCGGCTCTTTATTCAATGGCAGACGCGGATAAATTAAACATAGACAGCATAATTGCAAGGCTTCTCGAAGGTAAAGTTTGTTGTAATTTTACATTTACGTTCCGATTTTTCATTGAATGAGAAATCTTTATGAAATCAAATATGTAATGTTTGCAAGTTTAAAGCAAACACATATATTCATTAGTTACCACGATTTGAAACCATTTGTTTATCGGCTGTTATTATGCGTTACACCAACTTTTAGTTGAATAACTAAATGTATCGGTTTGAAATGTCAGCTCAGCTGTGAATCGACCTCATTTAGGTTCAAGGATAGAGAACATGGGTCCCAATAAAACCAATGTCATTTACATCAATATAAATATAATATTATATCAATATAATAGGTTAAAGTTAGGGTTAGAATTAGGGTTTGTGTTAGGCACATTGGTTTTATTGGGACCCATGTTCTCTATCCTTGGGCCCTAATTTATTCTGTTGGTGTCTAGGCTAATTTGTGCTGGTGAATCACGACTTGTTTAGCATTGTTTCCGACTATCAGTATCACCACAGGCACTTGAAGCGTTTCAATAAAATATATTAGTTTAAATTAGTTAGGGTTTTTACAGAGTGGCTATATGCCCGGCAGCCGGCATATATCTGACGGCTGCCGGGCACGGTCTTCGATTTCCTAAATGCCCGGCAGTTTTTAATTTTTAGCGTTATCTCAAGAACGGCGAGAGAGCGAGAAAGAGAGAGACGAGAACAGGAGCAAGAGTAGGAGAAACGAAGAACGACGGAGAGCGATCGAGAGAGACGAAGAATGGCGGAGAGAGAGAGGGACGGAAAGAGCGAGACGCGGGAGTGAGAACGGTGGATACACACGGAGTAAGAACTATGCGAGTAAGTCAGCGTGAAGGAAGGAAGGGCCGGTGTTGTATTCGTGATACTGCGAGGGCAAGTCCGAGTCTTGACCTGTGTGTGAGAGAGAGAAGATAGCAGAACAGAGAAGGCAAGGCTGACAGAGCAGAGACAGAGGACGTGAAAGATAAATTGCGAACTGTAATGGGTAAAAAAAAAATAATCCAGGGAATTCTAGAATTTAATTGGTGGAAAGCTTTAATCTCGTGCTGTCTAAAACTGGACGTGAAAGGGTGACATCATCAGGAATGTGTATTTTTATCTGTTTTTCTTTGTTTTATGTACGCGGTATTTTTTTCATGGTAGATGCTTGTGACCGTTTGTCTTTGTGTGGGAAAACCTTTTGCGTGAAACTTTGTGTAGAAATTTGTGATCGTTTTCTTGAATTTGTGCAAACGGTACGTTGCAATTATATGACGAATTATATGACGAACGGATGGACGGACGGCCTGACGGACGATCATGCGATTCTACAAGCTGCACCTGACTCTCTTCTCTGATTGGCTAATTTTGACACTATTTTATTTTGTATTATTTTTGGCTAATTTTATTTTATTTTAGAATTAGGGATAGGGTTAGGATTATGGTTAGGGTTAGGGTTTGGGTTAGGGTTAGGGTCTATATCCGTCACTTTCAAGTTGGTTTCAGTGGCTCAACGGTAGAGCTTTCACTTCGTGAGAGTAAGGTACCGTGTTCGAACCCCATAAAATGTTTTTATTTTCCTCTGCTTTCTATATTTCTTTGTATTTTATTTGTTTCTGCATTTATTTGTTCCGTATTCATTTATTTGTTCTGTAACTTTTGTTTATGTTCGGAATTAAATATATTTCTTTGTTTTGCATTAAAAAATTGTCCTATTATATATTTGTCCTGTTATGTTCGGAAACTGACCAATCAGAGAAGAGAGCCGGTTGTTTAGTTTTCAGGCCTCGGAAACCGGGTCCGGTCGTTTAGACACTACCACAGAGTTATTCGGTCTAATCTGACGGGCGTGAGTGACGGCTGCCGGGCACGGTCTTCGATTTCCTAAATGCCCGACAGTTTTTAATTTTCAGCGTTATCTCAAGTAAACAAGGGTTAGGGTTAGGGTTAGGAACTGCCGGGCATTTTGGAAATCGAAGACCGTGCCAGGCTGAAGCACAGGCACTTGGAACGTCACAATAAAAAAAAAGAAGTAAATAAACACGAAATGTACCAAAGTCTTAATGTTTCTCTACTCTATTCGCCTATAATCACCTGTAAATGCCGGTCAAATGCTCATCTGCAACACACAAATACACCGAACGCCCGCCGCGCTGTACTGCATGCACAAACAACATGAATAAGAGAGCAGGTAGAAAAGCGGGATTGAAAAATTCGTTCGAC